GTCGTTAAAGTTTCGTTGAAACGAAGTTACGGAAAATTAATTAACACACGGAGACGTAACAATATTTACTTCTATTCTTAGCCTGTGGACATCGAAGGTTGGATTTGTTTGTCATTAATGTTTCACATACACTTTATCACCCTACTCATCTTCTCCTTTATCGGTTTGTTCCTTTCTCCCTAAGACCTTGGCAACTCGGGAGGGTGGTTCCTCCTTTTCTCCTATTTTCCTTCCTTCTATTTCCCATCATTACCTTCGACCGGAACCAAATAGGCTTCTGTGTCCGGTCAGGGCTCTTTGTTGTTATATGGCCTGTACTGCTACCTTCCATGGTACACATTCCTGACTCTTTATTCCCTGACAATCCTCCCCTTTTGTGATCTTTAACCTTCTATCCTTACTAATTAGGTTTGCCTTTTGGTTCGATTGGCCTATTCTTCCCTACCTTCTCCCAGACTTTGTTCCAGGTGTCCTCCCATCAGATCCGACACCTCACTTTTTTTCGTTTTTTTCGTCTAATGGAGGAGATTCTGCAATCTAGCATGTGGACCACTCCCAGTACGCTCATCTGCCACTATTTCCATCATATCATGGTTTCCTTTTCATTGGGGTTTTGTCTACCACCTTTGGCCATTCTTCAGACTTAGGTGCAATTCTAACTGGTAAGTTTTTTTCATACTTTCTTTCAGGAGCCATGTTAACTCATGCTTTATCTTCCATGGCTTCACATGCTCACTGTGGAGATGGGGTGTTCCACAAGATTGCTTGATGGTGAATAACCTTGCAATATTTTGCTTCATAAACATGCCTGTCCCAGATCGTACCACCCATGGACTACATGGGTAAAGCAGAAGGGAATTTCTGCCCATCCCTGCCATGCTTAGGGTAAATAACTCGGTATGGTCTGCTTTTTAAAATAAGTGGTCATGGTCACCCATTGCACTGTCTCCAGTTATGATGTTCCTCCGGACTCTCCACTCATTTTTGCCATCCTTTCTTTGAGTGGAGTATGGGAGTCCTTGCCCACGGTCCAGTTCTAGGCCACTGAAGTGGTTGATTATGGAGGCACCCTGCTGAATGAGTTCCACACAATAACCATTCAGTTACAGAGTAGGGCAGTGGTGTTCTGTGGGTTTAGATGATGTAAGATCATCCTATTTGTGATAACCAATACAACAGAGTGAGACATCAGAATTTAGTTCACCTCCTTGATTGGGAGCATTCATCCTACTCTTGCGTGGATGTCGGTACCCCACAAGGATGTTTTGGATTAGAGTGAACCAATCAACATAAGTTCTCACACAGGTTTGGGTTGTCTATTTTCCTCCATCTGTGTTGTAGGTCACAGCAGTGGTATGTGGGATTGTTATGGTTCTGTTCTTGATTTTCCCTGATTCTTTTCTTACAGGGATGTTGTTGCCATTGGATGGTCCTGGCCTGTACCACAGTTGGAGGAGTTGATTCCATGCAATAGATATTCTTTCGATACCAGATGTCAATTTCCTGGATGGATGGCTCAGAGCTAATCCTTGTGCCATAATCAGGAATCAGTGGGTCTTAATCCTCATTTTTTGTGTTTGTGGTGAAGATGGTATGATCTTCATCCTACCTTCGTGTGGATGTTGGTACCCTGCGAGGAGCTTTTGGATGTAGTTGACTTACCGACTACGGTCCACTGTGTCCTAGCCACTCTACATCCAGGGGCGCATCCTTGTTTACCCACTTTTCTCTTCTGGAATTTAGTTCAATATCTTTCTCTGGTTAGGATCACTTTCCTACCCCATTGTCTTCCACTCGGATGTGCTCCTTCCATTTTCTGCCCTTATATCTTACACATTCCACACATAGGCGAAGTATATACGTGGCTCAGAAGTGGTGTGATTCCCCTCTTCTGATCTTCGGATCTGTATCTCTTATTTCCAGGGGTATCTTTTAGACTCTCTGGAGGTACTTCTGTCATTCCCTTGCACCAGTCTCACCTCCTTCTCAATGTGGGATTCTTACTAATCTTGTGAGAGGTGGTAAGTACCGTATCGAAAGTAATAATTTTTATATACTGAAAATGCATTTCTGATAGGTACTTACCTCATTTCACACTTCCCTTCACTCCTCCCCACTTTTCTTCAGTGCTGACATATTATGCTAAACTTCGAAGTGATAGTTCAGTGAGGAGTGTAGAGGGAGTCACATACATCACATGAGCATATTATGCTCCCATTGGTTAGAAGGTGATGCATGATGATTTGCATGAGAGACATGTTGGAATATAATAATTCCAATAGGGGAGCAGAAGGCTTGTGGCATGCATAAAGAAAAAGTTTGCATATAGAGGGCAGCACTGAATGAGAATAGCTAATCTTGTGAGAGGAGGTAAGTACATATTGGAGATACATTTTAAGTATAAGAAAATTATAAACTTCGGACATTTGTCTTCTACTTTCCTCCTTCCAACATGTCTTCCTCCATAGCAACTTTCTTCTCCTTCGAAAGTTGTCTAATTTAGAGTGGCTGGTTCGGCTTTCCAATTCAGTCTCACCACCACCCAGTATCTCATTCTTTTGGGACTCTCTTCTCATGTGTCTTCTGTTCCTCTTTGATATGCTAATACATGACCCATTCAGTGGTATCTGGCAGGTTAATATAGGTATATTCAGAGATCCACTGTTTTGTTTTCCCTTTATGGTGACTCACTCAGTCCCACAAGACCCTCCTTTCCCCCATCTTTCCCAGAATTGAATCTTTTCCAAGCCCTTTAGAACTCATCAGTTTGTCTATGAACTCATTCCACCTATATATACAGGTTTCATTGTCTGTTGTAAGCAACGTGACACATTGTATTGCTTTGTGCTTGACAACAACCGACCTTACAAACAATTTCTCCACCATTGCCTTAGTTTAGGTGGGATACTGTTCTGGATGCTTGATCCTGCTCTATTTTCTGGTCTCCAGAGAAGAGGTTGTACTCTTTCTCTATAGTCTCAAAATAAAGGCTGCTTTGTAGGCTTTCCTTTATTTAATGTCTTGTCTGTTTTTTATTCTCATGATACAGTTAGGCACTACTTTGTTGTTTCCTCCATCCCCTCAACAAGGAGGACCTTTCTTGGAACTTCTATTTTTCTGGTTCTATACTTTCTCTTTTGAGATAATGACCACTGTGATCAGTTTTCTTATCTTGGGCCCTGGTAGCTAATTGACTTTCTCACTTAAGCCTTAACCCTTCTCAAAGAGTGGTCTTTTCATCCTCTAGAGTTTTCACTGGATTTGCTCCCCATATGAGAGCCCCTGAATCAGTACCTTTCCAGCTCACCTCTGCTCATTGTTTACCCTCATTTAATCTCCAATCCCATACTAAAGCTCTGGCAGAGGAAACTCTGTGTCTGGAATAGTTCAAACTCCTACTCTATTAATCATTGTTATTTCTTTCCTTTTTCATTTGCAGGAGCCATTGCTCTTCATATCTGGGCTGTCTCCCACACTCTTTACCACAGGGTCAGACTAATCTACTTCCATGACTGATCTTTCCTGTCCACCATACAGTTTCCAGACTTACAGTGCTAAAATATGGGGTCTGATTTCCTGTGGTTGCCAAAGTGCAGATGGACCAATTCACCTGTACTACAACTCTACTTTCCATTTATTTTGTTGGTTATTATGCATACTCTTTCTAGAAAACAAATTACTATACTTCTAATAGTGGTAACCCACTGATGTCCAGGGCTACACACACACACACCTACATGGGAAGACTCAGTGTGTGCTTGTCCCTGTATAGCAGGACTGGGTAATTCCTTATTTTGGATGTCTTTGGATGGTGATTGAATGTTTTCTCCTTCCAACTCCCTTCACTGTACAGTTGTTCCAAACCAATCATCTTTTTTTTTCTGTATGCTTTATTCACCACCTGTCATATTTGTCATCTTACAGCTTCTCTTGACTCTGGCTATTGTTGTCTCCTGTATTAGACATGGTAGGCAGGGATGTGGGTGATTCCCCAACACATTTTTGTCACAATCCTTACACCACAGGTAAGTTTCACCTACCCTTGGTTTAGTCTCTCACCAGTTGCCATTTTCTACCCTTCACAGTAGGTTTCTGACTTCTCTTTTGTTTTTTATGTCTCCCAACCACCTTTTTCACACACACTGTTTCACTGTCTCTACATATATATATATATATATATATATAAAGGAGATGATGTAATCCACCGTGTGGCCAGTGTTTTTTAACAGGGAATACTTCTCTTTCCCCAAATCTGTACCAAGCAGGAGGAGTATGGAAAATGTTAAGCCCATCTGCTCTTACTATGTTTCTGCTGTTGGTTTTCACAAGACTATTTTGGTGGTGTATATATATATATTTTCTCCAAAAAACCAAAAGAATACACCAAGTGTATGCTTACCCTCATACCTGCCTTGTGCCTGCTGCTTTTAGTTGCAGTAACCCATTGCACTTTCTCTCAGTGTGAGATATAATTCTAGATATTTGCCTAATGACACAATCAAAGCACCTCTCAGGTGTTCTCCCCCTCATGCAAATTCTTCCCCACCCATTACTTCTAGTAGAGTATGAGAGAACTCTTGCTTCCCTAGTCCCAAGCCACTGGGGAAGTCAGTATGTGGAGTTCCTCATCAGATGGTGAAATCCCACTGGTGTGAGATTGAGAGGACATCCTCTCATTTGGTCTTTCCCTTTCTGATGGTATTTTCAGCTAGGAGCTCATCTTTGTAACTTATTTGTCTGATGAGCTTCTACACTATATTCAGTGTGGGATTCTAGCTGTTTTTTGTGCAGAGAGTTGAGTAGCATTTCTGAAATTAACATTTTCTTTACTGAAAATATACTTCATGTAGATACTCACCTCTATGTACAACCTCCCACACTTACTTCCTAGTTCTGGTACATTTCTTGTCAAGAATGAGTCTTGTTAAAATGCTAGTACTCATGGGGATTACTGGATGTGGAAAATGTGTCACCTTTCTATTGGTGGAGGCTATACTCTGATGATGATTACATCATTAACACACATGTATGGGTGGGGGCTTTGTTCAAGGGTTTTGGCTTGTGCAGGAATCTTCATGGCAGTGTATGTAATGTAAGAGCCATTCACTGTGCAGAGGTGAGTATTGATTAGAAATACATTTTCAGGCAAGGCAAACGTTAACTTAGGTAAAATAGTAAAAACTTGTGATACATCAAGTTATGACTGAATTATCTTTTTTTTTTTTAATGGTGGTTTTCACAACTAGACAAAGATTATCGACATGCCCTGAATCAACCTGAAAGAAACTTGTTTAAATAAGTGATGTTCTTAAAAGAGTGGTTTTCAGTGGACCATGTAAAATTAATGACACAATTTGTTTTTGCAGTTTCTCTGCTGAAGTTACATTTTTTTCTATTATGTATGTCATTTAAATTGAAAAATGAAATTTCTGTGTATATTTTATATTAAAATGTGCCAGAACATAGATGTTTCTAAACAGCTGTAAATGTGGCTTTGTTAGTTGTTAATATCATAGATTTATTTTCTCAGTAATGAGATTTTCTTAAAGATATATCAGATTTTGATTAGACAGTTTTTGCATTTTCATTTAAATAGTAGCTGAATAGAATGCTGTAAGGCCTCATTAGCTGTCTTAAGTAGCCAACTTTTAATACATGTTCAGTACACCAATCACAAGTAAGTTAAGAGTGCAGTCTATTTGTGAAAAGAACAGATATAGAATGTTAATCTGAAATACACACAAAATTTTGTAAATATAATCCTTATTTATAATTGTGACGGTTTTTACAACAGGTTTCTTGTGTTATACATTGGGGCTCTTTCTTAATGCAGAGAATGTGTGAAACAGGAGTTATCAAATGATCTAAGTACGGAAAGTTCATATTTTCTTTGTAGTTTGCACCTCTGAAATTCATTCCTGGTCATTCTGTAAATGCTACTCAAGTCCTTGTTTTGTATTAAGACCTCACTTTAATGATCACTATAATTGTTTTATTTACATTTAAGTCACCCGAATAGTGAAATACTGCATTGATAAAATGCTCTTAAACTTAAGAATCCAAAGTTTTTAACTTTAAATAAGAATAATAATGTATTTCATACATTTTAAATAATGTTTTTTCTTTGCTATTGTACATGTTTGCACCTTAAACGTGAGTGAAGCATTATACCTAAAAAAAAAATCATACATCTCACATGTGCTTTTGCAAAGCTGTGCTATTATTTGCTTTTATAGATTTTGCTTTCATAACATATATTATTTGAAATAACTTACTAACTCCAATTTTTTAGAATAATGCAAAATTTCATGAGCACTGTGTTTTTAGATTAAAGAGCTATTTTTTAATGGTATGAGTAATGCTTCACTTTGATATAGGTCTATAAAATGTATGTCTTTAAAGAAAGTTTTAGGCAACGGTGTAGTAGCAAATAGAGGTGGAAAAGAGTTGATGATTTTCAGGCACTTGGCACTTACAAGAGTATCAATTAATTTAATTAAACAATCCCAGGCGGATGATATTTGGTCAACAAATCCCTGTTAATTAATTGTTATGAAGTGGTTATGTGTATAATTGGACTTTGAAACTTGTGATCCAAGACTGCATATGTACATATCCTTAGCTGAAGATAACTTTCTCCATGACTTCAACTTGCAACATTTAAAGACTATTTTGTAAAATTTACCTTAAGTCTATAAATTGTATAGCAAAATATATATTTTATATTGTAGATTACTATGTAGTACTATCAATTTTACTCTCTGAATCCTTGTATTGAAGTATTTACAGTTCAGTTAGTTTTGGATAAAGACTGGCCACTATGACACTATTGTTCTTTTAAATTAACAGGCTATAAAATCATCATGTACTTCATTATCTATTGATTTTCTGTTTGTAATATTATTTATAAATATTTTTTCATATTTCATCACACCTACATTAATCTGCATATAAACCACAAAAAAGAGAAAACTGTTTCTTCTGTCTTTTTCTTTGTGTTTATTTTCAGGAGTAGTAGACACTGTGAAGGAACTTAGAAGAGCTCATGGAATAAAGATTGGATCAACCACAGGCTTCCCAAAGGAGATCCTACAGACATTACTGAGGACTTCAGAAAGTCAGGGATATGTACCAGAAGCTAATGTTGCTGCTGATGAAGTACCAGAAGCAAGACCTTGTCCTTATATGGTCTGGACATGTGCCATGAGATTGGGAGTACACCCAATAGAGGCCATCATCAAAGTAAGATATCACTAGTTGTATATTTAACAAATCAAGGTGACAGCAAAGTAAATTTGGGGCCTCTGATAGCTTAGGTGAAATAAAAAGAAGTAAATATATAAAATGGACAAAAACTGAAGTTACAACTTTAATATGGGAAGTTTTGTTTATAAAAATCCAAATAATCAAATATAAATGAAGCAGAGCAACTACAGAATGTAAAATAATGAAATTTAGAACGCTGTGTTAAAAGAACCAAAGAGAATAAATCTAAAATAAAACCAAAACATGCCTACTTCAAATTCTCTATTTAACTATTTAGAGAAAATCCAGACTGTGCTAATATCTAATATCACAGACCAAGACCATGCACTGCAATTTCATTAACAGAGAACACTGTCACACACACTTGACAAAAAAAAAGTGATGATAATTGAGGGCTCCCCAGCTGTAGCAATCATCACATATCAAAATTATGCACAAGTTGCCTAAAAGTTAGCAAAGTTTTCTTTCATCAGAAGTTTCTGAAAGTCATAAGTTGAACAATTGCTATAGCTTTGAAGAAAATAGCCTTAGTTTTCTTTTTTTACAACTAGCCTGAGGTGGATTAAGCAAGAAAGCTTGGTTAGAAATATACATTTAGACATACAAGCAATACTTTAGCAAAATGTCCAGAAAAAACTGTGAACCATTGTGGAATATTGATAGAACAAAAAAATTACCTTTGAAGGGGGAGAAATAACTACCACAAAAAATAGTCTAAAACTTTGTTATCATATATTCATTTATGTATACAGTATCCATGGATGTGATAATGAATATCTCAGTTATATGAAATACATAAACATAACATAAACTTGATCTCAAAATGTAAAATTATAACAAAGCTTCTTCATAAACAACATTTGTAGTTTGCTTTCCATCTACCCATAAATAAAGAATTTGGGGTGATCCCACCCTTGAACACCCTACATCTCATTGACCATGAGAAAAGCATGGCTTTTGAGAAACAACCCAGAAACTTTCTTACTGTAACTTTTAACCCCTTTAGAATATTCAATATTGTCTAAATCATCAACCTGCCAAGAATGCTTGAGATTGACTCAATAGGCTGGGAGTAATTAACCAACAGACTTTACAAAATAGAAATAGGGTTAAGTTCAATTTTGACCCCCCCCCCCTTAAGACATTCCCCATACTTAACCAACAGACTTTACAAAATAGAAATAGGGTTAAGTTCAATTTTGACCCCCCCCCCCTTAAGACATTCCCCATAGTTCATAGTGTTTACACAGTAATTTTGATTGAGATTGGCCCAATAGGCTCAGAGGAGTTAGGGTGCAAACAAACATACATTTCATCTTTATGTATACAGAGAGATTGTTTATTACATTTTAAACTAATTAATAATTTCATTTGTTTCATTTGACATGCACTGAATGTAAGCCTGTTAACTGAGTGTGGGAGAAATGTACATTATTCAGATTTTTTTAATTATTAGGTTGTGGCTTTGACTACCTGAGCAGCAAGAATTCTTGAATCATTTAACTCATCATTCAAGTGACATATCTCAGCCCTTTACTTAACCACAGGATATGTTTGCAAATTATTTTTTTCACTTATTAGTGGTAAAAACGTTAATTGTACTGTTCTTGGTTATGTTGAAGAATTAAATATTTTTTTTCTCTCTCTTTACTGTCAGTTGTGTGTGTGTTCCATCTTGTGTTATATTCTCTACTGTGGGTCTTTGTTAGCCAGTCACCATTTCTCATTTCTGCAGTGTTCCTATGCATTCTTATATGGGCATGGTTTCTTTTGGTTCTCAAACAAGTCTGCATCAATTTTTCATTATGAATATTTATGTTTATAATTTTAGTACTAAAACAACAGTTGAGATTCAGCTCATGAAGCTTAGATGTGGATGTTTTTCTCTTTATTTTTTACAGTGTAGATAGTTCACCCATATTGCTGTGTTTGCTACCTCTTCAACTGAGTGTCACTACTGCTACCTTTGAAACTGACATTTTTCATGAAAAATGATAATTGTGATTTTTTCCAATGGATAATGTAAGAATGAAAAAATGCAAATTTATTTGTAAATAGTAGTACTTTCTTGCTATAATAACATAATATAGAATGCTCAGAACAGCCTATGTTTTTGAATGATGAGAGGAAAGCAGGTAACAATCATACAGTCTTTGATATATTCAATGATAGTATTTAAAGAACACAACATAAACAAATATGATGACAGTAATAATAATAATAAATGAGTTAATAAACTAAAATGAAATAATATATTCCATAATATTAGAAGATAGTATGTCCCTTATTATTTGTTCAAGTTTATTATTGTTTTAATTAATTTCAGTAGCATCAGCTTCTTAATATTATGTTATCTGTCAATCCAGCTTGTTTTGGCTCCAAAATGTCTTTACCTGTTGAGGAAATGTACTCAACAACTGCACTCAATGTAATGGGTGTACTGAAGTAAATGAAGAGAGATTTAAAAGCTGATGAAAGGAACAAGCTTAATTCTATATCTTTTGAAGTAGATGGTTCTTTGTTCAGGAACAATGTTATTTGATCATTGCTACTTTGGGACAAATTACTTGCAGATTTTGCTTGTTGTTTAAAGCGCATGAAGAAGTCTTCTTTGTCAGTGCTCAAAAATGACAAAAAAATCACTTATTTTAGCATTTGCTCAACTTTCATAACCAAGCCTTCCATTTTCTCTGAAAGTTTTTTAATCATTCTTTGTTTTACAGTTTCCTTCCTAGTGTTCAAGCTAATCCAAATTCATTTTAAACCTTGAGTGAAAAGCAGATGTAAGAACATGTTCCTTATTGACAAAGGCAGCTTCAAAGTTCTTCTCAATTCCTGAAATCAAAGCATTAACAAGTAGCTTGCAAGTCTGGAGTGATATATCACAAAGATCTTTCAGTTTTGTCAACATGCAGTAAGTGTTGGTAAAAGTAGTTCTACATAGGCCTTAGTTTCACTTTGAAGTAAATCCAGTGTGCATGCTACAGATTGCATGAAGATAATGTATTCTTTGATGAAGTTTATATTAAAAATGTTGAAATGAGTGATGCCCTAGCTCATCAAACACTTTAGTAACTTAACTCTCTCTCTTCATTGTTATTCTCTCCATACAAACAAATTCCACCAGTTGCACTTGGAACAACAAAACATTCACCAAGTTCTTGTTGTATAAGGTTGGCTGCTATGATGTTGCAGGTCTTTATGTTCCAAAGTGTCTGGGCCTTCTCAAATTCTGATAGGGACACTTTCTTGAACACTTTGTCACTCAAAGCATTTTCTACATCAGTGGTTGCTATTGAATTGAACGTATGTGCCACACATTGAAGATGCTCGGGGAGAAAGCAAACGTCACTAGATTCTGTTTCACTACTAATGATATTGGAAATGCTGTGGAAGTTTACCTTATTTTCCTGTTCTTCATCACTTGACTTGGGTGTGCTTTGGTCTGCTTTGGAATCACCTGCATTGCTACTTACAAGTTCAGTCCTTGATTCATTGGAGAAGATCCTGCAGAAACAAATTGTAAAATATAAAAACAAATGTGTATGTGATGTGTGGCATAGCATAGTAGTACCATCTTGGTATGGTATAATGATGATATTAATTTAATTTCTTTCACAGTGATCCTCTCTAGCCATTGCTAGCCATTCGAAACACCTATCACTGACCAGTTTATATATTAATCAAAAACCAGGTAAAAGAGATATGACTTCAAAAGACTTTTAAAAGAACTGATAGGCTTTGCACCTTTCAGCTCAATAGGGAGAGTGTTCTTAAGCTTAGGAGCACAGACAGAAAAGGCAAGATAAAAAAATGTGAGAGAGAAACAGTACCGATACTAATGTATACTAGCCTTGACCAGCAAGAGACTTGTGGTAGTTTTTCATGCTCTTACTTGAACTTTTCTTATTCTATCATTTTCACACACAGCATTTAAACTATGCTTTACTGTAGCCATTATGTATAAGATCAATCAATCCTGTTATATTTGAAAAAATTTATGAGGTCAGAAAAACAAACTTGCATAGACTAACCTATATTTAACTCTCTCATTACAGGTATCTATTTTGCTCATGTCACAAGATTTTAGTGAGTTACATTCTAAATTTAATTAAACTACTTTATTATCATAGTATGTGAATAAATATAGCATGAAAACATAGCTGATAATTCATATTTTAATAGCATAGAAGTTTTAAGTTCTTAAATTTAGATTTTACAAAACAATATTTAAAAAAAATCCTGAATTTCCCCTAGTGTGAGAATTTCTCACAAGGCATCCCCTCTTCTCTAATTTATTCACCATTATATATATATATATATATATATATATATATATATA